GATCCACCCACCTTGGCCTCCCAAAGTGCTGGGATTACAGATGTGAGAAACAGTGCCTGGCTGGAAAACACACAGTAGGTTTTAAATATAGTTGGTGTTTCTACTTTTTCAGTGACTTTCCATGAAAAAAAAATATATATATATACACACACACACACACATATAGAGAGAGAGAGTTTGCTTCACTTATCCAGAAAAGTCCCTCTTGTTCCAGATAAGTGAGGTGTTGGGTGTGATTTGCTTATTTCCTCCAATGAAGGGACATGTGGGAGGAGGGGTGGTTCTCAACAGTGACTGCCCCATAGTTGCCCTGTGCCCCTCCCTACACTCCCAAGATGAAAGGCAGGGAGGTAAATCCTCTGAGGACGGAGACTTTTCTTCTCTTTCACATGGGATCCCTGGTGCCTGGAACAGTGCCTGACCCCTACGTGTGCGCTCAGTAAATATGAGATGAACAGAGGAACACACGAAAGATCCAGTCACCGTGGGAGCAGCACAGGGCCCTGCAACCCAGGCCCTACAGGACCAGGATATTTCAGAGCCCATCTGGACCCAGAGATTGGATGGGGATGTCCCAGGCTGTCTAGGGAGGCCTAGCCTTCTAGATAAAGCCCACCCCACCCTTCCTGCTACCCTGTCCTGTCCTGGCCTAGCTTCATACTTGGTTCAACCTGGGGCCACAGTAGCCACCACTTGGCCTCAGAGGCAGTCTCAGCTCAGCCTCAGTTTTTCCAGCCATCGACTGGGAACAGCAGCAGCCCACAGCAGATGGGGACTTTCAGAGGCCACTGTGGCATGCATGCACCCACCACGTGTCCAGGCCACTTACCTGCTCGCCTTCTGGCCCCCCTCTTTCTCCACCTGATGGAAGAGTGAAAAGACAGGTGGAAGCAGCAGGCCGCCTGGTCAAGTCACCATGGCGTTGCCTCCGCACCAGCCTGTCCTGACTCCACTCCAATGTCCGGGCCGGGCCAGATCATGCCAGGCCAGGCCCCAGGGAGGTAGCCATTCACAAGGAGAGAGGCCAGGCGGCAGGCCGGGTGGGGGAGCAGCCCATAAATCAGGCCCCACTCCCACCCGGTCGCTAACAAGCAGGGCTGCCTACCCGCCTCTGTGGGGTCCCTGCCTCTGGGCTCCCACAGCGGGCCTGGAACAGCCAGCTGGCCAAGGCCTCCGCAGTGCCTTGGCCTCCGCCCCCACCCTCGGCCCCCAGATAGATAGGGGTATTTTTTTTTCTTTTAGGAGAAGAAGAAAAAAATAGACGTAAATGAAGAGAAACACCAACAAAGAAGGCGAGAGGCCTGCAGAGTCACGTGGGGGCAGAGACCAATTGGGCCTCCGGTGGCCCCCCCACCAGGGCGGGGAGGAGGAGGAGGACGGACGGACAGGGCCAGCCTGCCGTCCGGCTGCCGCCCGCCGTGGTGTGAGGGGGTTTCTGCGAACCCACAGTTGCCACCGCCCCACCTGGGCTGCCGGAACCTCCCCCTGGACCCCTGGTGCCCACTGCCACCCTCATCCGGCGTGAGAGCGCTGCTTCCGCTCCGTAAGTGAGGGCCTCGGCCCAGGCCTCTAATGACCAGCCTCCCGGCAGTGCCTCCCTGCAGCCTTGGCTGGCCACCGCCTGCTCTGCTCAGTGACCAGTGCCCCCTACTCTGGGCAGGGAAGGGGCCAGGGGTCTCCCAGACTCACCCTCCCACCATGCTAGCCCCTCTTCTTCCCTGGGCTGCCGATGGGAGGAGCCAGGCCTGTGACCACAAGCCCCATGGAGGTTCGCTGGTGTCCCGCTGTCGCTGACCAGGCATCCACCAGGCTGTGTGGGTCTGAGCCTAGAGGTCTGTGAGTGTGTCCGGAGGGCTCTGGGCCTGTCTTGGGGCTCTGTACCCTGCCTGAGGGTCTGGGTTGTCTCTGTGGCTGTCTCTGAGTCTTGCTGTGTATCGGTGTGTCTGTCTCCCGCATTCATCTGTCAGCCTGGGTTCTGCGGCCCGGCCAGGTCTGGGTGGGCAGGTCTAGATTTGCCTCCCTGAGTGGGTGGATGAGGGACTGGAACTCCCCAGGTGGTGGGCTGGAACCTGGAACCTGTGGGGGTGGGTGCCTCCGGGCCTGGAGTGTGGAGGAGCCATGGGCTCCCAGCCGGTGAGAGTAGAAACCCTGGGAGAGAGGGAGTTGGAGATAGAGGGAGAAGGGCCTGAGCCCAGCCCCCACCCCACCCCATCCGGGCGGCTGGGGCCTGTGCTTCCAGCACCAGGATTCCAGGAGACCTCGGGTGGGCTCTACCTTAGAACAGCCGACTGGGGCACCCCAACCCATCATCCACCAGCACCCTTTGCTCCTACAGTCACTGTCTGAGGGCTCCACTGTGGTGGGGAGCTGTTCAGAGACAGCAGGGACCCCCACCTCCAGCTCGGGCAGATGCTCTTGTTTCTCAGGGGTTTGGCGGTGCAGGCGGTACCTATAACAGGGTCTCTGGCTCTTTCCTCCCTCCTCATCCAAGATTTTTGCATGGAAACCGCAGTACCCCATCTGTAAAACCAACATTTTCCACTTTATGCACGGAGAAACTGAGGCTCAGAGAGGCGAAGTGACTTGCCAGAGCTTGCACAGCTAATCTGCGGGTTCTGCTCCTTCTGTGGGGTGAGCCAGCTGAGTGGGGTCTGCGCGGGGGGTCTCTGGCCACAGTTCGCAGGCCCCAGGCTCAGCTCCGACCGAAGCCCGAGGCCTCTAGGCGGGCGGGAGCCCAGATGGAGCCTTTTGGTGGGTTGCGCCGCTGTCAATGCAAAATTGCGGTATTTTCCTGCTTGAAGATCGCGGCTTTTTGGCCTCATGGTCCTGAAACTCTCTCCGACCCCAGGTGCCAGGGGTGGGGGGAGGCAGGATGCGGGCAGGCCCCTTCCTCTCGGGTCAGTTTCTCCAACTGAAAAACAGTGGCCCCACGGATAGTTCCTAGCCCAGAGCAACTGCTCGGCCTGTCGGCCGGGAACCCCTTTGTCCCCAAGGCCGCCCAGCGCTTTCTTCCTTGCCCCACCCCTCGTGAGAGCTCCGAAGGGAGCAGCGGGGCCCTGCCTCTGGCCTCCTCTCCCAGCTCCTGCGCCCGTAAAGGCTTTGGGTCCTCCCTAGGCCTCAGGCATTAGTAAAATGGGATTTCCACGATTCCCATTTCCAGCCCAGCGAACTGAGGCTGGTGAGCAGAAGGGTTTCGCCTCAGATCTCCCCAGCGGGGCGCCACTGAGCACTTCCACCAGGCCACGCGCGTGCTTTGCCCCTACTGCTTGGGTTCATCCTCACGACCCACCCTTAGCGAGGAAGAGCGGTCATCTACCCACTTCACAGATGCGGCAACTGAAGACGCAACGGGCAGAGAGCTGCCGCAGGCTCGAGTGAGGAGACTTGGCGGGGCCCATGGGAGAATCTGGCTTCCACCCGTGAACCTGAGCCTCGGCCACTGTAGCCACTCGCCCTTACCCGCTTCCACGCTGCAGTGCGACCAGCAACCCGCGTGGCATTCGCCACGACCCAGCTGGGTTCGCAGACAGGAGCTGCCTCTTCCCACTGCAGGCGGGTGACCCGAGGCCCCCAGAGCCGAACACCTGCCCAGATCGCGGGGCACTCGGGCTCCGCAGCTCTCTGGCCGCGCTTGGGGTCCGGGGAACAGGACAGGGGCTGGGGGGCGGGGAGGATGAGA